ACGGAGACCCTTCTCTCTCTCTCTGCATGGGCTTGGGTCTATGGGAGCTAGAGTTGTGCACAAGTACACAATCAAAACATGGAGTTCACTAGGATCCCGTGAGCTTGCAAGTCTGTTGTCAGCCATGACCGCCACGACAGCACTGCCGGAGGGTCTGTTGTGAATTTTGATTTACGTAGCCGTGAAAAGGCGCAAAACTTGCACCAGGCCCAGCTGCTTAAAGTCGTCGAGGAGGCCCCGGCGTGCGTCATGAAAGCCAGCTTGAAATGTGGAGCATGACGGCTGTTGGTTTGTCTGGGTAGACCTTTTGATTTTAATGTTCTCCTATTGGGCTTAAGAGGCCCTCTGTCAGAGGCATTGAAGGGCCAACGCAGTTGTTTATTCTTCCAGCTGGTTGTTGGCTCACCGTATGTATAGCAGCAAGGCAGTTGCGAATCAGTTAATTAGTCCTCGTTGGTTGCTGAGTTTTTGCTGCTGCTCTGGGCTTTCTTTTCTGATGGAGAGTAGAGGCACCAGCATTGGTACTAAATGCCGCAGTTAGCATTGACAGAGCTCCAGATTCAATCGACAAAAGAGAGGAAGGTGCCAAAGACATCCACGCTTGCACAAACCAAGATAGGTAAAGGTGCGTATACGCAGACACGGGCAGGTGGCACCCGTGCCGGAGCGCACCGTGATCGGAGAGGCGCCAACGGTTCCGGCGCCATTTGTAAGGCTTTTGCTTTTGAGACGGCAGCTCTGCTATGAGCTTCTGACGGTGAGTACAGGTTTGGTTTGAGGTGATAGGAAGGACCCGGCTCTCGGAAGTTCTTCTTTCCGTCTCTTGCACTCTCACTTTCTCGATGCATGGACTCTCTGAGTGTATGGACTCGGGTTTGCTATTCCTGCACAACCAAAATCCAGAATCAACCGGCAGCCATAAACTCTAGGCAAACATTGCTAGACTGTGCTAGAAATGTTGTTGATCCATGCTGAACATACCCTATACTCATACCCTATACTCAGCCCTGAAACAAGGTCACTAAAACTCGAGTCCCTTCTGCTTCCTGCACCAAGTCTCTTCCCCTGCAGGCAGAGCCTGAAGCAGTTCAGGAGGCCACCGTGGGCATCATGAAAGCCTGTTATTATAGGGGCCTTAATAATTAGAATATAGTTTTGGGGTATATACTATAATAAGGAGCCTCCAAAACAGTATTGCTAATTTTGCAGGCCCTCATATTACAAAAAATGGAGCATGACAATGTGATGCTGCTCTCCTTGAAAGCTTTAGCTTCCTCGAGCTGACAAAGCAGGGTGCTGGTGTTTGAAACAGCCACCGGGTTTCTTCTAGCAGGCTGCTCGGCCTGTAAGTTTGTCTTTTTGTACCGCCGTAGCAGCAACACAGTTGTGGATCCGTTGCTCCTCGTTGGTTGCTGTCGGTAATCCATGGCTGGTCAGTGCGAAGCCCGTCCGTGAGAGGCACCTGGTGGCACGGCCCTTGAGGCGCAGGCGGTGCAGTATTCCTCATTCCTATTCATATACAGGAGTAGAATAATAGGGCTTATAGAGCCCTCTTATACCAACTAAGGCTCTACACGCTGTTGTCACGAGTCCTAAAAGTTCGCGGACCCTGGGTGAACCGAGCTGAAGCTGCTGCTAAAGGGTTCAGGACAGGGTTTCGGGTTTAGAGTTTACAGGGTTCCGTTCAATGCCTTTGCTAGCCGCAGGGAAATCCATGTCACACGTGGCAATTGGGGCCCTCCCTTACCAGGCTTTGTGCGAAAGTGCATGCTGTCCCACTGCAAATGCATACAGGCACCCAGCGAGAAACGTCGACATATTCCTTTGATTGAAGGTTCCCTCCAAACTCCAAACACCGCGTCGTTGGACTGCAAAAGATGCTCGTGGACACAGAAGGGGTTTGGAGATATAGATCGCAGTCAACTTCCGTGTGTGCTCTGAGCCGCCAAGCTTGGCCGGCTTTCTTTTGCTACATATAAATGTATATATGTGCACACAGCATCGTGGCCCTCGCGATGCACGCACGACATGTTTGGGTGCATGTCGACTTCGCAGTTCCTTGTGACATCTTCTTGTGCAGACAATGTTGTGTAGTATGAGAAACATGATACAGTGTAGTATAAGGTATAAGATAGGACAGTAGAACATCGTATAGTAAAGTCGAGGATAGTTTAGTATAGCGCAGTTTAATCTAATATATATATATATATATATATATATATTTATATGTATATATATATATAGAGAGAGAGAGAGAGAGAGCGTCATATGGGAAATAAATATAAATAAAGGAATTTGTGTGTACACACATGCACGCACATACACACACATGCATATATCTATATACATATATATATATATATATACTATAAATTCACACACACACACACATCCGTGCAATGATTGGGTATGAGGATTTGGGCGCAGTTCTTTGAGGGCTAGTCGGGGTGAGGTTCCGTGCCCCAAATGAAATCTGAACCCCCTCGCATCCAACCCTAAATCCTGAATTGGTGTCCCGTTGCGGTTGTGGGTCTAGCAAGAACGCGCCTTGCACTCCTTGCTGTGGTTGCGGATGCTTGAACATGACCTAGTAGCAAGGAGCATGGACCCTCAATGTACCAACCCCAAAACTTGACACTCAGCATCGTTGAGTGCGTGGGTCGTCAAAGGGTAGTGGTTCGCAAGGGCTTCCAGTGGTGATTATTGGCATTTGCAGGAGTTTCAGAATTGACTTAATGAGGGGGGGGGTCGGGCTCGTTGGGTGCGGGTTCAGGTCTGTTGCCTTGAGAGACATGATGTGCTTCGAATGTGTTGAGACCTAGAAGAACCACTTCCACAGGCACCAATTCGTCCATTCTCTGGAGCTCGCGCCAGCCTCACGTGGTTTGGTTCAGGGTTTTGATTACTCCCTACAAGTTCAGGAGGCTTCCTTATCTAAGTTTAAATAAGCAGGGCTTGATTCAGCAGTCTTTGGGTAGAAGTCCAGCTACCACATAAAGAGATCAAGAGATTGGTGTATGCAGTCTGCTCGCCGAGCCCAACTTCAGCTATCCAACATCCGGTCTGAGCATAGGCTACAAGCAGTTTGTAATTGAGGGCTCTATGGTTTTCGACAATATCCTTCGCTAGCACCCTGCAGTAGGCTGCATCTGCGACAGTTGCTCGCCACGCCCCGCTTCGACAGGGATGTGCTCTTACAACTCCGTCCCTGCCACTTCCAGGTTTAGGATATAGGGTTTCCTTGTCATGCGTACATGCAAAACATGTCTTTCTAGTTCTGACATCCCCTTGGCGTGACATGCAGAGATTCAGAACGTACGACTAGACGAGCAATACAGGTTTAATGACCAGCAGAGGTACCCTACAGAGAGCCCGAGTTAGACCGATTGTCACAAAAATCAGCGAACCTCTAACGGTAAAGACTAATCGCTGAAGCCTTGAGAAGAAAAGAGCCCTGAAGCCCAACTAGACAGCGGATAATTTCGGGAGTTGTATCTTATGGAGAGTTCGGTGTGTCTTGTAATGGTTTCAGGTTTAGGGTCTGTTATGGGTTGATTACGGCTTGGAGTTGACGGAGCAAGCAACACCGCCCCAGGCACACCAGTGCCAGCCTGGATGACGCCGCTTGTCGCCGGCACTTCTATCTCCTCTTTGCGACCCCAGGCGTGCCGAGCAACGGTCTGCAAGTGGTACGCGTCGAGAGTTTCATCAGCTCTCCTTCGTTGGATGTGGTTGCCATTTGTTGTTTGCATTGTCATGATGATGTCTTCTTATGAGAGATTTTGTGCGGCGCTTCGTTCAGACACCCTTATGCGACATGGTTTGCCAGAAGATTTTACCAGAAACGCGTTCTTCAGCCCATTATGAGTCTTCGGAGCCATGCTAACGTGTTTCATCAGCTCTCCTTCGTTGGATGTGGTTGTCATTTGTTGTTTGCATTGTCATGACGTCTTCTTATGAGAGATTTTGTGCGGCGCTTCGTTCAGACACCCTTATGCGACATGGTTTGCCAGAAGATATTGCTAGAAATTCCTGCTATACAAACATTCCTGGCGATACGTGCCAGGGCATCGCGCATCCATCTGGCCAAATCAACTGCACCTGTCTGATGGTGGTTCCTATAGACATGTGGGTTTTCTATGGAAAAACGCATCAAGCAACCGGTTGCTTGATGGCTTTTCCTACACAAGCACTTACATTTGCTGTACAACTGCACCTGTCTGCTGGTGGTTCCTATAGACATGTGGGTTTTCTATGGAAATGCATAAAGCAACCGGTTGCTTTATGGCTTTCCTACAAAAACACTTACATTTGCTGTACAGATGTAGGTTTTCGATGGAAAAACGCATAAAGCAACCGGTTTCTTTTTAGCTTTTCCCACACATTCACTTACAGTGGCGGCACAAATCAACTTTTTGCAGTCCTGGCTCGCACGCCGCAAGCAGATTAAACAATAATGTAATGACCTGGGGCCCCTCTGGTCCAACAAAGCGCTTCACAGCTCAGTCATCCTCAGGTCTCCGCCTATTTTGGCGTAGACGAGCCTTCGCCTCCGGACGATCAACAGCCCGTGCTCGACCCGTGTGTTCATAATATTCTCCCTCTCGCAAAGGCAAAAAGCACGCAGCCACGGGCTTCTCCAGACGTTTGAAGCTTAGGGCGCTCTTCAAGCTGCGGGGAAATCCTGCATGAAGAGAAAGCAGCTGGAAGTGCGCTCGGTGAGTTCGACGATGTTCCCTGCTCTCTCGCGGGATTCGATCTTCGTATCGGTCCCTATTCCTACTTGTCAGCTGCCAGCTTCGACCCATGATGTTTGCTAGCACGAGCGCACAGGACGTGGAAGCAGACCCAGGCAGGCCAGCTGTGTTACTTCGATTATTTCAGACTCCCAGTGAATAATGGTCAACCTTGGAAGGTAACCCTCCCGCAATGCGAGCCGTCGAATCACAGTGTGTTTGGGGATTGCAGGCCACTGTATTGAAAACTTACCGTCCTCGTCTTCAAAGCTTTCCGTCACTGAGTTTCCCCCACGAGCATGCAATTCCAGTGTGACTGGCAATGACGACCTCGCGAAACACTTGTGAAAGAATCGAAGCAGGAAAGGACATGAGCTCCACATTGGTCCTGGCACTTGGCCCCCTTTGGTCAGACTCCATGGCACTTGGCCCCACAGCGGAGTCAGCTGTGGCAGCTGGCTCCACATTGGCCACGGCACCTGGCCGCACATGGTCCGCCTCCATGGCAGCTGGCTCCACATTGGCACCTGGCCCCACATGGTCAGCTTCCATGGCACTTGGCCCCACAATAGAGACAGCCATGGCAGTTGGCTCCACGTTGGCCATGCTTGCAGCCCTATGTCCTATGTTTGCTTGATCAATGAAAGATTGCACCTGCATGCAGCTCACACACAAACAGTCAAGCATGAGCATGCGTGATCAATCGAAAATTGTTTTCATCGAGGACCCTGCTCCAAATCATTCAAAGGCTCTCCTTACTGTCAAGCGCATTCTCCCAGCAGATCTGTCTCACCTTGTCGACGTCGGATTCCTCTTCGTCATCTTCATCTGCAAGCGGAGACAGCTCTTCATCTTCTTGCTGCGGCACACGTCTCGCGACACCACGGGCCATCTGCCGTCCTCGGTTCCTTAGAGTTGGCAGGCCTGACAACAAAACTTGCGTAATTAGCCGCCTCATGTCATGCACACGTCGGTACATGTGCCACAGAATCCTTGCCATCCACCGCTGCCAGTTTCCGAGAGCGCCTTCCATTGGATTTAGCTAGCTCCCAGCACCAGAGAATTTGAGCAAGCTGTAGCTAACTGGCCGCCTAACTGGCCATTCAATTTACATTTCCAACCTCTCTCGACACGCAGCCGACCAACCGATCAAAAGGGCACATGGCCCTGCATGGTCTGGCAACATGCAGTCAGATTTCATGTCTCAGCAGCAATCAAAAATCAGCTCCGGCAGTAGAGCATGATGACATGAAGTGCAGAAAGTACATGATTATTATTAATTTATGATAGCTGATAATGACAAATCATAAGTTATACAGTTATACATATTTATTCAATGTATGTAGTTTCAATCTGAACTGGGGCATATGTCGTTTGAGTGAGCATTCAGTCATGCAGTCAGATTACACACAGTGCGACAGCGTAGCAAATCCAGAATCCAACTCAGTCCACTGCCACTGATCCAAGGGCCTCCCCTGCAATCTGATGGCACTGTGCAACTCTCGCCCTTCTGCCCTATTACGGGTGACCCGAGCACTGGTGCTGTCCCTGCACGGCAAGGCGTGCACCCCTACGACTGCCGGCCGCACAGTCAGGGGTAGAGGCCTTCACGGTCGATGCAGGTGAGCAAAGGATCCTGCCCAACAGACCAACACCTGGCCAACGGTGCTGCAGAGTTCACTGTGGGTAGGGACAATAAAGATTCGACTGGCGCCTGGCCCCCTGTCGATGAGAGTGGGTGAGTGATGAGTTGCAGTTTCAATCCAAAACGCCAAACTCTGATCAAGGACCTCTCTTAACTTGAGCTGCAAGTAAGGCAACAACACGAACAACACCAACAGCAGCAATCCAGCTGAGTCCATTGGCCTCCCTGGCGTCTATTTCAAAGATCCAAAAGCCCAGGACAGTAGACACTGTTGAACTCCGGACTTTTTTGGGCGGCTTCCCACTCAGTGGCATGGGTTTGGTCAAAACCAGAAAACCGGTGATTTGCAATACCAATGCCGTGGTAACACTCATGCCAGTCGTCCGGTTCAGGAAAGAATTTGCCGCATTTGCCGCAAGGATCACCAGCAGTCATGGATAGGACGAAGTCTGGCCATACCTTCAATTGGTAAGGTCTCACAGCACCAGCAACACTGCCAACTGATCACTGCCATAGCCTTTAAGGATCCTGGTAAATGATAACATCATCTATGGGCCATGTGTTCAGATTTTTCAGGATCGGCTTGGGTGGCAGTGGGCCAGATGGGGCTGGGTGCCAACGCCAGCTCGCATGTTCCCATGCTATCGCTGTATTGATGAACATCACCATAAGCAGCTTTGATACTGACATCCAGAATCCAGACGTCTGGCCCTCTTTAATCGTGTGTGTGTCTCTGTAAGAACTCCTCGTATTGCTTTCTGTCATTGCCGTACTCTTTCATTTTGCCATAATAGGCCTTGGCAATATTTGACCAATAATCGTCGTCTTCGCCTCGAAGCATGTCTTGAAAGGCTGCCGTCAGAAGCATGATGTTCAAATGGCTGGCAAATCCTGCAATGAAGTGGCAGTTACAGTTCTTATACTGCTGCAGTTTAAAGTGTATTTAAAGGTACTGTTGTCATCGACCTTTGGATTCAGAAGTCTGTCATGATCTCACAGGTTTGAGAGCTGAGCAGCATGAAAGGTGCACCACGGTCAGTGCCACTTCCGACCAAGAAACCAGCTGACAAAGCAATGCAAGCAGCACCCCCACCTTGACGTCGCCGACAGTGATGCCAAGCACCCAGCAGGCGGCAGCCAGCAAACAAGTGACTCAAAGAAATGGCAGCCAAACATCAACAATTCCAGTATTGATTTCAATTTTAATATGTAGAGCAGCTGAAATCTGAAAGTAACTATTATTATAGCACACGGTGTCACACACACACACTGAATCATTTTATTGCCTTTGAATTTCACTACGACCGCCCTGCCCGCCCCCCATTGAAATGAACCAACAACTCGACTCTAGTCCAACCCGCCATCAGGTTGATCAGATGTAGTGGCGTCCAGACCTCGTTATCTGCAGATTTTCCTCCGCAAACATGTTGTTCCGAGTTTTGACGATTGGCTTCAGTCAGCCAGGTCACAAGTCGCAGTCCATTCGGCCGAGATATGGGGTCACCCAGCTCAGTGAGCCATGGGGATGTCAGGCGAAGGCTCAACGACCACTAGCTACCGTGCGCCCTACCATGCCAGGCATGCGTCGTGGTGGAGTCGAGGCCATGCCATGCATCATGCCCATCCCAGAGTTCGCAGCGGACTCTTCTGCCCCCGACATTGATAGCAACGTCGGGTCGGCCATGGCAAAAAGAGCGGTAGTCGAATTTAGTTCGACTGTGGTGCAGGTACGTGGCATCAAGAACAACATGTTTTGGCATGCAAAACCAAAGCACAACTCATCAAGTTGATCATGTCATGGAAGACCAAAACATGAAACATCAATCAGATTGAATCAAGCAGTTCACTTCAATGCAAGCCAATCACAACTTCAGCAATGCAATGGCCTCCCCAGCGTCTCTGCAAACACGAGTGCGCCCTCCTGGGGTCTTATAGCCACCCCCACACGGCCAACGGGGAAAACCCCGCTTGCTGTGCCATGGCAACTGCAGAAGACACTGGGCATGCATAGTTGACACCCACCAAGCCGTGCTAGCCCTGCATCAAGACCAATGTCCTGCAGTCCAGGCACCTTTGTGACGACATCTCGCCACAACCATGGGAGCTGGCAAGCGGTAATCGAATGTAGTTGGTTCGACTGTGGTCGGGTCGGTGGCAGCAACGACAACATGACTCCATGGCATGTCATGCAAGACCATTAAAAGACGCATCAAAACAATAAAACGCAACTGGCAGCAAGAACCAGCTAAAATTTCAATAGCGAATTTAAATTTCATGTCACGAAAAACGCATTTTCACAAACACATTTCCAAAAAAACAGAATTTAAAACCAAAAAAATCAAATGAAGCCAAATAAAGAATTTTAAATCCTTTCAAGACAAAAAAACCAATTTGAGACAAGCCGTCAATATTCATAGCATTGAGAGGAACTAAACCCCGAGAGTCTAAACCTAAAACTCCGCACAACGGCATAGGTACATCCGTACATGCATGCATGCATATCTACATACGTATATATGTATGCACTTGTACTATCAATCATTATACATCTATGTATGTTTCTTCTTTGACTTATTTCTATGTATGTGTGTACATATTCATACAAGCTATACGCTCTATCTGGTATAACCTTTATATACATACACATACACACATGCAGGCATACACAAGAACATAGACATAAACAGCTACGTCCGGATTTGTATACATTATATCCCAGCCCCTAAAAATCCCCAAGGCACATAGGGACCGGATGGAACTCCGCAAAACATGTGCCGCCGAAGCCAGGGTGCTGGCGCGGCGAAGGCTGGAGGCGATAGAGGGTTGAAAGGGCCTTGCGTGTGCTTTCGACGAGGGAATTAGGGTGATCGGGGTTCAGGGTAAATGGGATGGAGACCGACTCAGGGTATGCTTCTGGCACGGTTAGTTTTGCAGATTCAAAATCGATCTGAAACGGTATGCATGGCATCCAGTTGGAAAACAAGCCAAAAGGTTGTTCATCGATGGTGTTTCCAGCACCATCAAAGGTCGCAATGAGCATCGTGTACTTCCACAGTATCACCAGCAGTTCCATCATTCTCATCATCATCACCATCATCATCACACCCATCGTCATCATCATCATCATCATTGGCCTCATCACGATCATCACCATCATCATCGTCGCCATGATGTCGTTGTCAATATTATCATCGTCGTCGTCATCATCATTGGCTTCACCACCACCATCACCATCATCATCGATGCCATCATCATCGTCGTTATCGATATCACCATCATTTTCATCATCGTTATCATCACCATTGGCCTCATCGCCATCATTACCATTACCATCGTCACCATCATCATCGTCATTATCAATATCATCATCATGATGATGACCATCATCATCTTCGTCACCATCGTCATCATCATCGTCTTCCTCATCGTCATCGTCATCGTCATCGTCATCATTATCATCAGCCTCCTCCTGCTCCACCTCCTCCTCCTCCTCCTCCTCACCTACTCCTCTTCCTCCTCCTGCTCCTCCTCCTCCTCCTTTTCAATCCTCCTCCTCCTCCTCCTCCTCCTCCTCCTCCTCCTCCTCCCCTTCCTCATCACCGCCACCATCAACATCATCATCGTCGTCATCACCATCATCATCATCATCACCATCAGAATCAGTACAAGCATCAGCATCGGCATCTCCATCAACCTCACCATCATGATAATGATCCCTGGAGTAGTGCGGCTGCGGCAATGCCCGTGGCAGCGGCAGCGCCCGTTGCAGCATGGCGAGCAACAGTCGGAGATCGAGTCTATTCACCTCGGGCTTGTGTCCGATGGCAATGCGTGCCGGTGTAGACTTCTGTCGAAAGCCATAAGCCCTCAAGTGCGAACACTTATGTTCAATGCTTCATATTAAGAAATCCCCGGGTAGACTTAGGCTCAACTCTGGACTGGCACAGTCCCTCCAGTAACAAGTTGGGCCTTCCGCATAGGTCGCTCCTGTGATAATGCAAACCTAGCAAGCGCTGGATGGGCTCGGGCGCAAGAGCAACATCGTACATCGTAAATGCACAAGCTTGAACCCCGAAGCCCAAGTATCCCCTCGACCCTCCCAAAGAAAGCCCGAGCCAATACGAATACAAAAGGATTTGAAGCATTAGTGATAGTATCGTCGTTTACTCACATCCCAATTATGTTACGACAATCCCTCCACAAAAGGTTCTAATTCAAGGCCCGTGCATCAACTCTGTTGCCTTCTC